CAATGAGTGCAGCATTGCAGCCTGTTAGGTACATGATAGTCATTCACATCTTGTCTCTTATTTTATCTTTTAGAAAGAAAAAAAAAAAATTTTATTTGTGATGCTTTGTTTTTATTAACCCTCCTAGAAAGATTTTGTACATTTATTTTTGTACAATTTGATTTGAGAAAAGTCATGCTGTGATACTTTTAGTTTAGGTTTAGTAAAAGTTTAAAAACACTTGCAACACAAATAGGTCATATAAATGTCTAAGATTAAATCTGTTATAGAGAGTAATATCATAAGAGCATCTATTGGCACAGAGTCCTGCTTTGCATTTCATTGAAAAACAGAATAAAATGGTTTGGCCACCTGTTACGAATGTCACCTAGTCAGCAAGCAGCAAGAGCCTATAATGTAAAGTACTCAGGCTATAATGGAAGAAGAAGGCCATGCATAAGGTGGATTGAGGGTGTCAAGGAAACTCAGAGAAATTGCAACATCCCAATTGAAAAAGCTGCAGAGCTGGCCTACTGCATCTGCCCTCAACGATTAGCGGCAACAGAGGATAAAAAAATAAAAAGAAGGAAGACGGAGATTAACATACATAGAAAAGAGGGAGGAAAGATAAGGACGTAAGATGTTTGATAAGAAATAAGGAACAAACCACCCACACCAGAGCACCTGCCAACCACCCACATGTGATGTACTAATTTGTTCCTCATTTTGTTTTCTCTGTGCACTCCCAGCTGGTTCTCAGATGACATGGACAACACTCTCGTGGAGGATGTGATGATGGCGCTGAAAAACTGCAAGGTAGGGGGAAAAAAACCTGCTCCCAGACTGAGAGAGCAGTGGTGACCTATTGCAGCCTGCTGCAAGGAAGCAATGGGTCAAAAAGAACTTTACGTTTAAGTAAAACTATTTTGCTAGGTTTAGGACACTTTGAAACCTTATCTGCGTATAGAACTTGCAAGATATTTTTTTTTTTATGTAGATGGTTTTTGCACCTACATTGGTGCAATTTAGATCATTTAGGAGGCGGGCTTCCAACCCTGCCTGTCAGAGCCAGTGCAGGCTGAGAGGGGTACAAAATCCCACCAGAAAGACAGAAATACTTGATAAAAATTGTATCCCCACTCAGGAATCGAAGGGACTCAGGACTTCTGCATGCGACAGCAAAGCACATACCCTTTACACCGCAGAAACTGATGAACTTGCAAGAGAGCAAGTTCATTTACCAGGGTGTACTACTTTATCTCATATCAGCTGCCGAGCTGTCCTTTTAAAAACAAAAGAAGAAGGAAATAATGATTAAATCACATTTTATTGATCTCCGTGGGGACATTAGAGTTACAATGGCGAACATATAATATTCTTAAATAAAGCACATAATTTTAAATACTTGCACACATGAGTACATAAGTACATACATACCTCAATACACAAAATTAGTATTTTTTACTTTCTTGTAACACCTCTAGTCTTTGGCACTTATATGACCTTGTTGTGTTGCAAGTGCTGTAAAACACTTACTAAAACTAAAACTAAAACTACTTTCTCCAGATCGTGGTAGCGCTGGTGTCGGACAACTTTGAGAGCGACGACAAGTCACATGACCTCTTGCTGTATACGATGGATACGCTGAGCAAGAACTACATCATTGTGGTGGTGGGAGACAGCCTGGCCTGGCAGAACACGGACCTGGGGATGAGGATTGGCAAACAGGAGGTTTGTGTGTGGGTGTGTGTTTGTGTGTATATGTGTGTGTGTGTGTGTTTGTGTGTCTGTGTGTGTGTGGGTGGGGGGGGGTGTTGCTTGTTTGTGTATGTGGGGGGGGGGGAGGGTGTTGCTTGTTTGTGTATGTGGGGGGGGGGAGGGGAGTTGTGAGTGTGTGTCTCGGTTTGTGGGTCTGTTTCTATAGATATACTATTTTTATACTGGTTTTGTATGGTTATGTTTGCACATATATCTTTTTTTGTTTTATGCTTGTGTGTGAATGAGTATGTGCGTGTGTAAGGGGGGGTGGGGGGGGTTATGTATATGTATGTGTTTGTTTGTTTGTGTGTGTCTCTCTGCCTATCTCTCTGTAGGTATGTATGTTGTTTGTGCATTAAGATGTTCTTTATACCTGTCGTATGTTTATATGTGAGTGTGTGTTATCTCTCTGTGCGTGATCTCCAAAGATTATAAGTATCCTTGGAAAGTACAAATTTACATTTTTTGTACCTTGGATCAGCATATTGTAGTAAAACTCCACATATAAATATTATTTCAAATGGACGTAAGCGGTGTTGAGCCCCCCGAAAAATTGATAAAAATTGTCCTTCATGCAAAAAAAAAAAATTCTGGTTTCTTCGATTTCAGTATTTTGATGAGCACTTGATTTCACCATAATGCCTCACATTTCTCTGTTTTTCAACAGTCGATGGTGATGATAAAGAACAAGTCACGGTACAGCAGCCGCGTGGAAGAGATGGTGACGGGAGTGAAAGCGAAACTGGGCAGTATTCACTCACAGGTGATCATATATGAGATGTGGTGTCATCATTATTGTTGTTACTGAGAGTTGATGTTTGTGTGTGTCTGTGTGTGTGTGTGTAAGAGAGAGTGAGAGAGAGAAAGAGAGAGAGAGAGAGAGAAAGAGAGAGAGAGAGAGAGAGAGAGGGGGGGTGGAGATACACTGATGAACATGATATGAACCCATAAACATGACCGTGTAAACTTTCTTGCCAGAGATCAGTAAAACTTCATTCATTCATTCATTCATTCATTCATTCATTCATTCTTTCATTCATTCATTCTTTCATTCAAAGTACTACCAACAATTTTACAAAGAACCCTTTTCTCGGCAGGTCCAACAACATCCCAGTGTGTTCATTAGTTACTGCTGGACAAACTCGCAGCACGCTAAATCCAGGGGAACTAACTGCCCCCCGGAGGCCCTGGGCTGGGGCGACCCGCGGGAGATCAAGGAAAAATTGGAGGAGAGGGGGCTCACGTGCTGGCTCGATTTTGACCAACCGGCAGCGGTAAGTGTGTCATTTGTGTGTGTGCTATGCGTTGTTGTGCTCTGTGCATTATTGTGCTGTGTTTTGTGTATTTTGATGTGTTCTGTGTATATTGTGCTACGTATTGTTATGCTGTGTTTTTGTGTATTTTGATGTGTTTTGTTGTCTTCTGTTGTGGTCTGTGTATTTGCTGTGCTGTGTTTTGTGTATACAGGGTGTCTCCCGCTAGACGCACCATGGGGAAAATACATACTGAGTGTAGGCAATTGGTGGAGGTCTAACTTTGTGGAGCAGTTCAATATCTGCGCACTTTGGTGCCTTTGTATAGGCCTAGTGTGGCGTCGGTGGCCTAGTGGTTAGGCTCTCGGACCCGCAACCGTAAGGTCGTGGGTTCGAATCCGGTCAGGGGCCCGACGTTGTGTCCTTGAGAAAGGCATTTTACACGAATTTTCCTCACTTCACCCAGGCGGGAATGGGTACCCGGCTATAGACAGCGAAAGATCTTGTCAGTTTGTTAGTGTTTGAGCACTTAATCAGCTGCTTGCACTGTATGCTTCCCGGGAAGCTGAAAATGTTTCGGAGTGTTCTATTGTCTGCTGGGGTAATAATATAGTGGAAAGCGCATAAAGCCTGCTGTTGAGCGGGGATATGCGCTATACAAATGCTATCTATGATAATAATTAGTGTATTTTCCCCGTTGTGCGTCTAGCAAGAGACACCCTGTGTTGATGTGTTCTGTGTTTGTTGTGCTCTGTGTATTATTTTGGGGTGTTCTATGTATGTTATGCTTTGTGTTCTATGCCTTGTTCTATTTAATGTTATGTGCTTTGTGTTTGTTGTATTGTATTGCGCTGTATACTGTGTAATGTATTATTCATTATATAGAACACTGTGTTCTGTGTAATATCATATGTGTCATGACGGGATGAAATCAGGCGCTCGTCAATTTTGGGGCATATGGAGTTATTGGTATCATCTTAAAGCCTGTTCATATGCCGTGCTTTGAATAAAAAATTTGCGACTGAAGGAGGTGGGGTCACCTGGTTCAGAAGTAAAATTAGCAAGAAGATGGCTGACAAAGTTTAGTAGCTTCCATAGCTTGAGAGTCCTTGGAAACTGAAAATTTACAGTATATGTTCCTTTAATCAACTTTTTTGGGTATAATCCCCACAGAAATGGGTTTTTTTAATCGACACAAAAGATGTTGAGCCAAAAATTAATAAAAATTACCAAACCAGCCGAAAAATGCGTGTTTCTTCGATTTGAGTATTTTGACGAGCGCCTGATTTCACCACAATGCCTCACATATGTTTTTGGGTATGTCACATTCTGTGTATCTTTGCTGTGTTCTTTGTACTGCGTTTTCTGTGTAATTACTGTAATGCTGTATGCCTCATATAAAGCACTTTGTTCTGTGCATACATATGTATATATTAGATATGATGTTGCAATAATAGTGATTTTCTTTTTTCCTCCAGGGTAAAGGTTTGTTCAAAAACATCACCGAGGGAATCCGCAACTCCAAAGTGATGGTGGCGTGTGTGTCTGATGAGGTGAGCCAGATAAACAAAACAGGCACTCACTTTAGTATTTTGTCTACGTAAAACCAGAGTCCACTTAAGCAGTATCTGTGGGACCACCTGATTTTCTTCGATTTAGCCATGCTTTAGAATATTATTATAATAATTATTAATGTTGTTATTATTGTTGTTGTTATTGTATTATTATTATTTTTTATCATTGTTATTGTTATTATTGTTTTTATAATTT